GAACAAAAAGAACGCAATAAACAATATGGGCACTGGAGACAAAAAAAAAAAAAAAAAATAGGCAGAGAGCTTTATCTTCAAAGTCTTATAATGCACTGAATTCATTATAGGAAATTGGTGACGATAATTGACGAGAAAATTGTTGTGTCACTTTAATGGTTGTATAGGTCACGCGCCTAGGCGTGCACACGGGGGGGGGGGGGGGGGGGGGGTCCAGGGGGGCCCTGGCCCCCCCTGATGACTTGGGTAGAGCGCAAATTTAGTGCGTGTTTTTTTTTTTTGTTTTTTTTTTTTTGGGGGGGGGGGCGTTTTGGTTGGAACAAAATCGGGGTGACGCCGGAAGAAAGAAAGCAAAACCATCCCCACTTCGTTTTTATTGAACTTGAAACATCGTCAAGTATATCCTAGAGGAAACGGAGACCGTTAATCTGCGAGTGAGCCCTTACCCCAGAAGAAATCGACAAAAAAGTAAAGAAGACTGCTGCTGGGCGGAACGATAAGTCAAGGCTGCGCACCTGGGTATCTAACCGCAGTGCTGCCGGGTGCAGCATCCTTCGGCAAAAATCCTCTGGTCTAAGTAGTTTCCGTTTTAACGCGACGGTAAAGTACTGAAGGACACATGTTTCAACTCACGAAAACATTTGTTATGAAAATTAACGTTCACTGCAGTGTTTTTTTGGAAGAGGGGTGAAGAAAAAAAATATCAGGAGGAGAAACTAGAAGGGTGGTGAGAAGCGAAGGAAAGAATGAGCCAAGGTCTCCAGGCCACTCGGGTTAGCTCAGGGTGGATCTTTCTGTGAGAGAACATACGAGCAGGTATGTTCTCTCGGCCCCCCCCCCCCCCCCCCTGTGTACGCCACTGGTCGGAGGCATCCTCTTCTGAGTCAGCAAGAAGCGCCTAGCTGGGCTTTGCTTGTGGGCGAAGTCAAGGGCCCCCGCCTATTCTTAGTAGACTGTCGTTGCTCTGCTTGCTCTGGGTGGCTGGCTAGCAGACGCTCAAGCTTACGGGCCCCCGCCTATCTGCCTAGCCCTGCGAGCCATTCAGAGTACCCCAAGTTCCGCTATACTTCGTTTCAGCTTCGGTCCAGACGCAGCCAAAGCTACAAGCGCGAGCTCCGGGCTTTCAGCATCCCTGCCAAGCACGCGCGCTCGTGCAGCGCAAGCACTGTTCTGGGCCACATACTCGCGCTTGTAGCATCGGCTGCGTCTGGACTGAAGCTGAAACGAAGTATAATAAAGATGAATGAATGAATGAGGGAATCGCATGGCGGGCTTTGTAAGTCCTTGTCTCTTTTTTTTTTTTTTTTTGCTGCTTGAACTTGTGATACGTGCGAACATCCAAAAGAAAATCTTCAGAGATAGCGAAATTTTGGCTTTGATGGATTAGAGTGGATTTTGGATTGTAAAAAAAGGTTGCCAAACGCAAGTCTGGAAAGATCACGCGTGATCGCTGAGAAACCGCCAACCATCTCTCGTTGTGTTTTAACGGGGTCGCTCGCGAACCGCATCCGCAACCGCTTCACAAATGCAGCTCAACCGCCAGTGTAAGTGCGCCATTAAAACTGCGCACTAAAAAAAAATACAAAAAAAAACAACAACAAAAACGATTGTATACTCTGTTTCACCTTATGATGTACCGCAGGAAAGGCTACAGGCGCGAGCTCCTTGCTCTGGGGCACACTTCGGCGCACAACTCTTGTGCATTAAGGGCAGCTGCCAACGCTATGAGCTCGCGCTTCTAGCCTTCGCTGCTGTGCAACATAAGGTAAAACAGAGTATAGTAGTTGTAGTAGTACCCTCTAAACCACCACCCCCCGCTGCCTACGCCACACGCTTTGTCCTTGTCTTGTCGCGCTGCTTTAAATCAAGGTGCTCATTAACCAACTAGCCCAAACATACCTTTTAGCATGCTTCCCCCCTTTACAAGTATCAGCTGATCTTCCAACATCGTATCTCTTTTAGTTCAGGAATATATGATAAGTAAACCTACCACTAAATTAGAAAATAATTCGCAATTTGAGTAGAAGTTACTCGGAAAAAGTAATTAAAGTAAGCTACCAATTACCGAAATAAATATTAATTGCAAAATACTCAACTACTCAGAAAAGTAATCCCTCCATTTCAGCCTGGTGACGTCATGAAAGTGCCATGCCGTCGCCGGTCGCGATCCTGGCGGTATTCCAGCAGCAGTGGTAGATGTAGCAGACGCCTGTTCTGCAGCAGGTCGCTCTCTGGTGTAAGTTCACAGAAGCTTCTGCAGCCAGAAGTAGAGACGCCATGACGACAGCAACACTTGCGTTCGCTCGTGCTTTTCGCAAGCATTTCTACGACCAACCGCCAGGATCGCGACATCCGATAGCATGACACCCCGGGGCCCGGTTTCTGTGATGTCATTTGTTGCCACCTCGGGACCACTTTTGATGTATGGGCAGCATAAGACGCTAAACATACCAGTCGGAGACGCGTTCTAGGCACCATAATTATACGTTACAACTTTCCCCAAATTTGTAATGATTTAAAACAGAATGTGCTTTATCAGCAAAATTCTCTGAGATAACCGTCACGAAGGACTGTGTCATCACGTGACATCATGACGTCATGTGATACCATGATGTCACGTGATACCATGATGCCACATGACGTCATAACGTCACGTGAATCTCACTCAATGTAGTATAGTCGCCCATCTTTTCCCCGTTTTCGTTTACCTTCCCCTCATGCTCCGCCCCATTTTCCTCCGGCTCGGATGACTAGTCAAGAAAGCATGAGTGTATCCCTTTTCATGTAAATAAACAATGTTACCATATTCATCATGACGTAACGTGACACCATTTTGGCATGTGACAGCGTCTCGTTGCGTGACACCATCTAACACAATGAACTTATGTGATGGCGTAACGTCACGGGATATCGTGACGTCACGTGACACCACGTCACATTACTCACGTGACACCACATCACATTACATCACTTTATACCTTATTAGAACCGTTTTACCGTTCTTAACTTTTAAGGCTTCCAGAGCTTCGCCAAAGCTAGCTTTCTCGCATCACTCCAAGCCACTGCGGCAAAGCAAACTCCTTCTTTGCGATTTTCGTTCGGTCATTTCGGACCCGAGGCGAACAATGAATCCAGCCCCGTGTTCTCAGTTACCGTGTGAAGTCGCGACGGTAAAATCCCTGCGTACCAGCGAAATACCCACGTGAATAAGCTATCAAACCAACGAATACTAGTAAAATTGTGCTGGGCTTATGTTCATGAACAGCAGTAAGTCAGTCAGCCCAAATGGCCGTCTGGTGTCTCCGCTGCATATGAGTAATTTAGCAAGTGCAGTACCACTGTTAGCATGGGGTCTTTAACGTGCATCATGCGGTGGTAATACACGACCGCACGCCGGTACAACACTCACCGAGATCGAAATGAGCCGGGGTGAAGACTGAACCCAGGGTTCCCGGGTTCTGCAGCGCGAGCTATCGCGCCACGTACTTCAAACAAGCTGCGGTACACTAACAAACTCAGCCACCAACTTGTGTAAAACACCAAATAAACTATTTGGTGTTTTACCAAAAAAAACGATGACAAGCACGAGCCGAACAGCAATGTTTCTCTGGCAGTGCTCCAACTCATACTGCAGGCCATACTACTGCGCCCTACTAGCACGACCCAGGTGATCTTCAAAGCCTGGCACCTTGACAGGCGAATGGGCCGTTTTCGGAAATTACCGGTGCAGGAGTTTCTGGTATGAAAATATGTGAGCAAGTGCTCGAGCGATCGCAGGGACTCCCTCGAATAAGGAAGCAAGCACCTACCGACTCCATTGTATTGGGCTCCCCGAAAGCCTCTTTTTTGCATACATATTATGGCTTATCGTTTTGCACCCAAAATCGTTCAAGACGCTTCTTCACTCCTTCCTAATCCGCGCAGTTTCATCACGAGAATCCTCGAACCCCGTTTTCCGCCAGGTGGCGCCAGTTGTTTCCAAAACGGTGGATTGGTGCATGCTCGAAAGTAAGCGACTAAGAAACGCCAGTAGAAGATGAATGATTTCCTTTTATTAATGTTTCACATTCCATATAAATGCGTTAAATCCTAAACAAAACAAAAAAAAAAAAAAGATTGGAAATGTATGTGTCGCGTGAACGCAAACCAGGTACAACTCTGAGGACTATAGAACAACTATGCTACACCATGGACACATCTAAACGAGTAGAGAATGAAACCATCCATTGAAAATGTTCCTTCATAGGGGCACAAACACGATATCCGTTCAGCTCCCCCCTAGGTCATTCGAGAATGTTGCACATTGTCATACTTTATTCGCTAAATTGCATGCGCAACACTGCAAATGTGTCACCGCCGCTCCCCCTTTCCAACGCCAATGATGTTGATGATCATCGTGCGACGTACCCCGCACGCTCCCCAAAGTGTTGAGTCATGTGAAAAGGCCCTTACCGGTTATAATCTCAGCAGCAAACTCTCGAAAGTTAAACCATTTCTCAAAAAAAAAAAAAAAAAAAAAAAAAAGTTGTGATCCAAACTTTGCGGTCAGAGTTTCTGGTGTCCAGCATTTATCAGAAAACACACAGATGTATGCACAGTGCATGTCACAGTAAACACGAACACGAGATCAGTGCAATTTTCATCTCACGAATATGCATATTAAGTGCTGAACACCAAATTCTATATGCAGATTCCATTAAACTATTAATTTGGATTATAACTTTCCAGTTGTGCAAAGAAATACTGGCATTCTCTTTTTTATGCTAACAGTGTCACTCTCTGTATATGCTGTGTAATCAATGTAGTGCACTGCAGGCACTGCAGTTGTGGCCAGCCAATGCCTCTGGGGTCCGGGACATGAAGCGCAAAAGGCTCTAGAAACCGGCTGTTGTCAGTAAACAGATGGTGTAGCAGAACTGTTGAATATGTTTTATTTCCATTGTCACTGCACTTTGCTTTCCCACCCCACTGTTCGCTTTTTTTTTTTTTTTCTTTAATGATTTCATGTGTTGGAAATAAAACTAGATGAATACAAACTTCTACTTCGAAATGGCACTTCATTACGCCGCTATGCGGGGCACTTCGCATCATTATTCCCTCTGTTGAATACACAACACAACCCAGTTCCTTTATTTGAATGGAAGTTTCCCACATTTTAAGAACTGTAGGTGGAAGAGATATATGCAAGGCAGGAGACGAAAGTAACACAACCTTCGCATGTTGACAGCGTCTTCCTAGCTCAAACTAGTCCCACAACCAAGAGGTGACAGTCCAATGTTCACTTCGGTTAAGATGAAAGGTGATGAGGAAAGAGAAAATGGTGGACAATCTAATATGAGACGGTGTATGTACGAAAAAAATTCAGCTTACTTCATGACTGTCTGTTAAGGGAGCACATGTGCCTATGGCAAGATGTTGGGTACTTATATCACTGCAAACAGTGACAAAATCAAAACACTTCAAGCCGACAAATAGCTCTGCCCAACCAGAAAGTAAAATAAATCGGCCTCTTTGTGCAGGCCTACAATTCAATCTACATAAAAAGTATTTATGAGCATGACAACTGATCCCACCAATTCGCAGAAGACTTTTCAGTACGTTATGGGGGGAGGTGTAAGCATAACTACATAGATCCAATCTTCAATTATGTCAGCACTCAAGGTGCCAAAAATTATGCTTGTATGCTTATACACTCTGCAGAGATTCCTATAAATGTCGCTGCACAATCTATATATGCCCACATTATAAAGAAAAAATAAAGCTCGACTTATTTTTGGACATTTTGAAATTAATCTGACTAGCAGTAGACAGCAATAAACACATTGCAAAATATAACAAAAAAATAACTGTGTCTGAAACATAGATTTGTATAAGTTTGGTGACATTTTTAAGATTTTTAAACCAAACACTATAGGAACACAGTGGAGGTCTCCCAAAAGCAAGAGCCTCAATGTTATGCACATATCTCCCAATGCACAAACGAAAATAAAAAAAAAAAAATTTTGGAGTTGCATCTTTGCAAATATAGATGTCCTAGAACCTTGTCCCTTCAGAGAGAACATACAAAGCAATGGAGTAATATGTACAAGAGAAGTTTTACAATATATCACAGATATCTATTTGAATGTTTGTATGATCTGTACAAACATGCTCATGCCACTAGTGATTGACACGTGCACGTAATTGAGAACCATAACAAAGAGAATAGGTGTCTGTTGGCAGATGATGTCAACAACCATGTATGGTGCACCCGAATCTTAAACGCAGCCAGGAAGTCGCCTGGCTTGGGTCTATTACAATGGTTACCAACAAAACACGGCTGCATTACAATTCCCCAGCTTCTACCTGGCCTGAAGGAGGTAGACTGTCAAGTCCTACAACTGAACAATCTATGAGTGTATGTGTGTTCTTGCGATCGTGCAGCAGCATCAAGCGTTTCGGGCACACAACGCGAGCAGTCATTTCATACCCACGCCCCCAACAATATTTCTCATTCCTAATATCAGCAGAGGTCGACTGCAGAGGTGACGGGTTGCGCCCCTGAAAATACTCCTAAAACATTTAGAGCAAGTGTGATTCCTCGCAACAACCATAGCAGTATCTGAGCAGTGATAAGCAAGCTCATACTCACTTCAGCTCTCTTGCACCTAAGCATAATCCATTTAGTCGACAATCTCCATGGACGAATCACTCAACGAGACCTAAAAATATTGTTCCAAAATCCTCGGGGCAACGCCAAAGAACAGTATTTGGCTCAACCACTTCTTTGAACAATGCAGCCGATTCCCCCGAGCATCGCCGGGCATTTCCAGCTTAAGGGCCGTAGCCGACACGTGGCCTGCGGCGTAGAATGGGTCTTTCCAGCACGATGCTCTCCTCAGAGGGCCACGTCGGACGAGACGGAGGTCGTGGGCCGCGTGCCTTCCAGCCCGCACGCCGCCGCATAACTCTGAGCCGCAAATATCTTGAACACGTCCTTCGTCACAAAGGTCGTCAGGTTCCCAAAGGGACAAAGCCCGGCGTCGGCTCCAGGTGCCGGCACAATGCCCTTGCAGAAATGCGTGTGCCGCGTCACGTCCTTCCCGTTGTAGAGGATCCTCACAAAGCGGCCCCGTTGGCCGTCACTGTACGCCTCGAAAACTATCCTCGATGCATACGGCGGGATGACGCCGTCGTCGAAGCCGAGCGTCGAGGCCACCGGAATCAAGTTCACGTCGTGGCCTGAGAAGAAGAGGAACTTGACCCTGGATGTGCCGTCGAGCGCGTCGCGCAGTCCCTTGTGCACGCGCGCCAGCAGGTTGTACGCCTTCAGCACGCTGCTCCTCCGGAACGAGAGGTCGTGCGAGAGCTGCTTGCCTTCCCAGTCAACATACGAGAGGATGTTGCCCACGTACTCCATCGTGGCACAGCGGCGCTGCCCGTCATCCGTGCATGGCAGTGGCTTGCGCTGGCAAACGAAGCCCATGAGGCCGTCCATGACCACCCGGGGGTTCTGGAAGTCTGTCGCATTCCCCACGGGGCTCAACACCTCGCCTAGCGTCTCCAGCAGCTGCGAGACCGCTGGGTGGTTCTTGAGCATGAGGCGTGTCTTGCGTGCCAGCATCCGCTCGTAGACCTTGAGCCGCGGGCAGGCGCAGTGGGCCCCCAGGCAGAAGTTGATGTCTCTTGAGGGGACCAGGTGGAGCTTCTCCGGGGCGAACGACGGGAGGAAGCCGTGGAGGAATGCCAGTGCGCTCTGGTAGGTGCGCGAGAGGACAGTGCTGTACAGCTTGACTGCATGCGGCTCCCAGTCCTTGGACAGGAGATTCCAGGGATCGGTGTGGTAGGCCTGGCGCAAGGAGGCCCCCATGTTGACGTGCTGCAAGACTCCGTCCCAGGTGAGGTGTCCCTCCGCGCAGGTGCTCTGGTTCGGGTGGGTCGAGATGGTCGCAAAGATATTCTTGAAGGGCAGGGTGGGGTGCTTGTTCACCAAAGAGACGAAGCCCTGGAGAGGAGTCTCCAAGGTCCGGGGTCCGACAGGGACGGGGGGCGGCTGACGGCAGCCGAGCAGATGCTGGTGGCGGATGTGGCGCAGGGGCATCCGCTCTCCGTGCCGCACCAAGATGGCGACGGCCACGAGGCTCATGTTGCCGCGTGTCACCTTGCCTGGAACGGGAAGGAAGGGGGATTCTTTTCTTGCAAGGTCATCAATAGTCACCAACAAGCTGAGAATGGCAAGGCACCTCTTTCGAACGCCCCTGCCTCCAGCACGCGCTTGTTACCTTTCGTTTTGGCTGCATGTGCTTGAGGAGGAACAATTGAAACTCCTCCCTGCCCTTCTCATCCTGCCAGTGACTATCCCGACAAGAATCAAAACGGCCTCGAGGGTAGCGACGCCATTATAACAGCTCTGAAACGAGAATGTCAGCAGACTTAAAAAGGCAACTTTTCGCCGTTTACTGGAAGGAGCATTCCAGAAAGAGACACATTTATCTTGCTGCCGACTTCTGATCTATGCAGTGTCTGACTTTGCCCGGGCTATGGTTTTCCTTTAACTGAAGGGACGGTAAAGTCAATAGAGCTTTCGCTGAATTACCCAAGAATCAAAAAGAATGCCAGAAATGTAGGTACATCTGCTGCGCGCAGTGTTGTACGGAACGGCGTTCCAAGGAACGGCGTTCCTTTTAGGAGGAACGAAGGAACGCCGCCGTTCCATTTTGCATCGCTGGAACTGGAACGGGAACGCGTTACATTTTTACTGGAACGGAAAGAGTAACGGCGTTCCTTTTTTTATGTTTAGTGGGGTCATTTTCATTCTATTTTTACGAGGGAAATTTTAAAGGTATAAAAGCTATATCTTTCCGAAAATATTGTTTTTAACTCGTTCATGTTTTGGCTACTTATCTTAGGATTTATATTGTTTGGTCCTCGCTTAGTAACAGTCGGTTGCTGGAAAATTAGTGAGCATCAATTTTTCTTTTTTTTTTTTTGAGTGCTTGAGACTGCGGTACAAAAAGCAAAACGTTTAGTCGCACGAAAAGACACAAAGAGGGGCGTTTCAAACTTAGCTACGTTATTTGCTTCCACAAATCCACATACACCCAGACATCTAAGGCCGACTACAGCCATTTATGAACTTTCATAAAGAGACCTACAGTTACAAAAAAATCACAGGTTACTATATATCGAACGAATTTTTGTATCCCGAACATTGGTGACTAAAACGATACACAGAAATTAACCTATATTCCTTCTCCCTTTGTCCCCCACCTTCAAACTGAACAACGAACCCAACCTTCACAAAGAACTACTTGTAGTTTTCAAGACTGACCTTCCAAAAGCATACCCTCTCCTTCACTTGCTCGTCTTGAGGACAGCAACATCGAGGAGCAACTGCTGTTAAGTTTGAACAAGGGACTTTGTTAGATTGAAACGTGTGAGGCTGTTGTAAAACGCTTGTGCAATGTGGGGTAACAGTACATTTGGCTCGTCTGAATCGTTCACCACAAACATGAATCTGACTAAAAGCTGAGATTTTTAAACTTGAATATATGAACAAATAAAACCCTGATTCCGCTTGTTTTCTTCTCCTGGTGCCCTTCCATGTCGATATATAAATTCCCATTTGATGGGATAGATAAAAAAAAAAAAAGCTTTGCTTGATCTAACCAAGTATGGTCATTAGAAAAATACAAAAGTAACGTATATGTAACGAAACATTCCATTTTTTTCAACTGTAATGGGAACGAGTTCCTTTCTCACAGATGGAACTTGTAACGGGAACGCGTTCCAAAAATCAGAAGGAACGAGGAACGAGCTTTCGTTCCTTTTTTTGAGGAACGTGTACAACACTGGCTGCGCGTGCTGGCATCTTCAGTTCTAACTGTTCAAAAGCAAAAACCTAGAACAAATGACACATCCCGTGCGCGTTCTGCGGACACTTTAATTTGGTTATTTACTTTGAATCCTTTGTATAGCGAAGGCAAGCACGTGCATTGTGTGCACCTACATTCCCAACATTCTCTTTGATGCCTGGGTAATTTAGCGAAAGATCTATTAATGCTGAGTCTGTTATAGCCGCATATCTCTTGATCACAAGACCTGGGGACAACTTTCGGTGGGAGCTCGAAGAAAGAAGGGAATGTGCCTGCATAACTTTAACAGCGTTGCCTCCGAAAGTTGTCTTCAAGATAAAGTTTTTCCCTATTTCTATCTCACTAGCTTCGCACAGTGCTGTGGAAGCCACGGGCGGGAGAGAGAGAAAAGCCGCTTTCGTATGAAACTGAGCGACAGGGTAATCTCCGAGGGGAACAAAGGCAACATCTGAGATACACAAAGGAGGGTCTGAATAAGAGGAGCATTCCTCCTTTCTCTTTTTTCTAACTGCTTAGTTTATGCTCCCGCCCCCGTACCTTTGATTATGCTGTGAACAAGTAGTGAGAATGAGTACAGACATAATTCCACTATCTTAAAAATCCTGGTTCATTCATACAAAAACTTGGAGGACACTTAAGGTTTGTCTTTTAAGAGTGGAACGCGATAGCGTTATCAAGCCCCGTTCGCATCGCCTTCTCATTCGCTGTGCAAGCGTGCCTTGCATGGCCTAGTCAGTAGCATGTCTGGCTCGCAACCAAAGCGTCGTGGGTTTGAATCCCGCTAAAAATTCTTCAAATTTTTTCTTTAAGGGAAATGTATTGCTTTATAAAGTGAAATCATTTGAGACATGCGACGACCTTTAATTCCCGCGCAGTCATGTGGCTGTGACGTCATGACCCCATCGACCAAATAGGATTTTTCCGTCACGCCACCGACACTGGATTTTCAGAGACACAAGCTCCTTAACGCAATCACATTAAAAATTTACACAAGCTTGATCATGCTGACAAAGACTGGTAAGCACGGAATGTATGATAGGCCCTCCACTTGTCGGCGTTCGTCTGCGGGTCCCCTGGTAAAGGCTCCCCCTGATGCTGCTCCCGTTTCTTACGTCCCCGATAAGCTCGCACACGTTCTGCCACCGTCTGCTTCACCACGGCCACGGTGGAGGAAGGGAAGGGCATCTGAATGGCACCGTCTACCGAAGATTTGCTCCTATTTCTGACACACACCGTAAAATGGCGCAGCACAACAGGGAAGGCTGCAAAGTGCGCAAACGAACTTTTACGCACCATGCCAATGGGTTTGTTTTTGCGTGCTAGCAACCACTGACCCCGGATAGCTCAGTCGGCAAAGCACATGGCTCACAAATCTCAAGGTGGTTGAGTTCAAATCCTGCCAGGGCCTGAAGTCTTTTTATGTGGTTCTCTATGTGTGTAACTCTTTCGGTGTTGGCTTTTCATTACATTTGGCTTTTACAGCCAGCCGTTACAGTTAAAGGCCTCCATGAAAATTGGCTGATAAAATGTTCGGGAGGATGTTCGGGTGGATGCAAGGCAAAATTCCACTGCGATTGTATTAGAGTAGGCCTTGAGGAGTATAACATTTTCATGGCCTCAGGAAAAAGCTTGTACAAATGCAACGCCTGCATCCGGCGGAACCGCAGTGACGATAAGCCTAATCGTGAAGAAACGTCAGACGTGTCGGGGTCTGAAACGGACAGCGAATCAGCCAGTGAAACCACCCTGAAGTTAAACACCTCATGCTCGCCGAAGTACCAGGAATCTTTACTGCAAAAGATAAACGTCAAGTTAGACGTGCTTATCGCCGAAATGAAATGCCTAAAAGCGGATAATAACCATCTACGTTCCGAAGTCACCGAGTTACGGAAGCAACTTTCCAAGCTAGGGCCTGACCTGAATCAACCGAGCTTGAGCTACAGCGCTGCCGCATCATCGGGACGGAATCAGGTCGCACACAAAATAACGAATTTGAGACAGAATGGGGAAGGCTCAACTCGGGACGTCGCCAGCATGGATCCTGTGTCGACGAAGCAAAGTTCTGACAGCAAAGGAAACGACGAAGACCGTGCCTGTGTAGTGTGAAATATCTTCAACAGACTTCTATGCCATTAATGACCGACGACGAAGGCTACACTACAGTGGGACCAAGACGACGAAAGAAGCCTTCAGTTGGAACGTCGAAATCATCCAAGGTGACCATTGTGCTTCGTCCCCCTTTTCAAAAGGCGTTGTTTGTAACTAGATTTGGCCCCGAGACAACAGTTGAGGTTGTTAATTCGCTTCTTGAACCTGTCCTACGGGGGAAAACTGTTAGCTGCACGAAGCTGAAAACAAAATTTCCCTCCTACTCTTCTTTTCATGTTTCGGTCGAACAAGACCTTTTTGAAACCATTAATAACCCAGACATTTGGCCCGAGGGGTGTATCTTTCACCAGTTTTTTGGAAAGCTTGATATGACGCGAACGTCACTACCAAATAGTACTGATGACTAAACAACAGATTAAATGCTATTATCAGAACACTCGCGGTTTGAGGACGAAAGCAGATGACTGTATGTCAACTATTGTTTCCACTAATTTTGACATGTTCTGTTTAACTGAAACTTGGCTATTGAAAGAAATTTCCAGCACCAGTTACTTTCCAACATCATACAGTGTTTATCGAAGGGACAGGGATTACGGTGCAACCGGGAAGAAATTTGGCGGGGGGGTGTTGACAGCCGTGCGGGATAACATTAAATCATGCAGAAGGGTAGATTTGGAAACCTATGCAGAGTGCGTATGGGTTGAATTATTAACACGCGATGGGTTTAATTACCTCGTCGGAAACTATTATTTTCCTCCGCTCTCGGATTCGAGTGTGTTCGTAAACCATTTACAGAAGCTTGAACAGCAAATTGATTTTTCGAAATTTAAAGTACATATGTACGACGATTTTAATCTACCAGGAGTGAACTGGTCGACCGGCATAAGCAGTAGTGGAAATAATCAAACGGTGGTAAAAGTGTCACGTCTAGTAGATTTCATTAATTTTAATGGTCTAACTCAGCATAATCAGTTCACGAACACGGCCGGGAATGTTCTTGATCTTTTTCTTTCAAACTGCCCTACAGACAGTGTCATGCCAGTTAGCGATACTCTTGTGAAACCTGACGTTTTTCACCCGCCCTTCATCGTATGTTTTTCTTTGCCGGTGAGGTCTCGTGACAGACAAAATTTAACCAGATATGACTATCATAAGGGTGATTATTTAGGTTTATATACGTTC